GTTGCATGTTGGAGTCCAATATAAACTGGAGTCATATTCAGTTAATTTTTTTGTCCCACCTTTTGATTACCCTCAGGGTCGGGAACTATAAACGACCGTTCTGCAGATATGATGAATATTAAGTTATAAAGAAAATGATATGGCATACTGGCCTGATAATTTACCTGAAATGTAACTTAATTTTCTTTGCCATTCGCAACACGACATACGCTGAAAGAATTTGTTAACGTTGAATTGTTAATAGTAGACAGAAATCGAATTTTTGTGTGAACAATTATATTCATAGATATATTCACACCACTTATATAATAAAAAAGGTATATCAATTTTGGGTGGTAAGATGGTGCCTCTCATCTTTTACATCTCTCGTATCCTTTCTATTAGTATCCATCAGATTTAGGATAGGTAGATTTGTGGATTGTGTTTTCTTTTAAGATATATATATTGCACTCGTTCGAGACAGGGTCGTCATTCTATTTTTTTCATCTTTTTATTTGACAAAATCGATCACTTACGATTATTTTGTCGGAAGTGTTTTTTTTATTGTTAATGTTACTTCTCTCTCAGGTACTTCAAATAGGATAGTCAACATCTTTTATAAATGTTATTGGGTTCTCTTCAACTCTTTCTTCTAACTATCAGTTATTTAGCACTTCCCATCTCTCCTACTTGGTTGTCCGTTTTCATTCTGCCTCTAACTTTCGAACTTACCTTAATACCTACGTGTGATCAATATGCACGCATGTATATACAGACGGCAGTGATCGAGTCACTAAGTGGGCATGATAACCTCATGTCTCGTCCTGAAGCCTTGGATCTAGGGCAAAACAGCGATCTGTTTCGGGACAATAGCAGCACCTGCGACATCTGCCTGTCCGTCAGCCAGGCCAGCAATGAACACGATGGTGACCTCGTTTCCTTTTCAACTGATGCCGTTGAGGGTGGTTGTGGTGGTGTTGTTGGTGGCGCTGTCGAATGCAGTGTTGTTGGTGTTCTTGGTATCGAGGACGAAGGCGTTTCGAGGAGCAATACT